ATATCGCAAGATTGTTAGCAGAACAGGAAAAGAAATAAGAACAAAGGAGAATATTTTATTTCTACTAGAAAATATGATACAATAAATACGATACAATAATTGCTAAATATTAGAAATTCGAATTTTAAACCAACGGTTGCAACTCCTAATAATATGCACATATATTTATTTAATAACAATAATAATTTGAAGCACTTAATTAACACTCCCCCTTGCTTCAAAGCTTGTCACTCCCATACGCATCCTGAAATAATCATGTTTGGCTTGAGGAAGTAATCTGGTGAAGATATCTGCTACTTGCTCATTGGTTCCACAAAACGTCACTGCAATTGTTCCATTTGCTACAAGTTGTCAAATGAAGTAATGTTGCACGTCAATATGTTTTGTCCTCCCATGGAAAGCTGGATTTTTGGCAATTGCAATTGCTGCCTTGTTGTCACAAAAAATTTGTGTTGCCTCATTCTGCTCATGATCCAAATCTGTAAGAAGTTTTCGAATCCACAAAGCTTGCTTTGCTGCCGAAGTTGCTGCTGAATATTCTGCTTCACACGATGATAAAGCTACCGTGTCTTATTTCTTAGAGCTCCATGTTACTGCTCCAGAACCGAGATCAAATATATTACTAGACACACTTTTCCAATCGTCAATGTACGCAGCCCAATCACTATCGGTGAAGCCAACAAGTCTGAAATTTTTTGCCTGACTGTACCAAATGCCAAAGTTCAACATCCCAGCGATGTAACGAAGAATCCTCTTAGCAGCCCCAAAATGTTTTTTCGTAGGATGATGCATAAATCTGGACACAACACTAACCGAGAAAGAAATATCAGGTCTAGTGTGTGTTAAATAATTCAAGCTACCAACCAAACTTTGAAATAATGTTGCATTTGATTTTTCAATCCCGTCTTCATGCTGTAACTTCTCATTAATATTCATTGGTGTGGCTGCAACTTCACAATTCACCATGTTAAATCTCTTTAGAAGATCGGCAAAATACTTCTTTTGATCCACAAAAATTCCATCTTCACTCTGAATAACCTCGAGTCCCAAAAAATATTTTAGCAACCCAAGGTCTGTCATCTCAAATTTGCTCATCATGGTATGCTTAAAATCATCAAGTAAGGCCTTTGACGATGCATGATATACCATATCATCAACATATAAACAAACCAACAAGAAATTGCCATTACCTTTCTTCTTTATATATAAAGTAAGCTCATTCTCACTTCTTGAGAATCCATTTCTATGAAAGAATGAATCAATCTCACTGTACCAAGCCCGAGGAGCTTGTTTCAACCCATAAAAAGCTTTTCGTAACCTATAAACTTTATCTTCACTGCCAACAACATTAAATCCAGGAGGTTGAGAAACATACACCTCCTCTTCCAATGCACCATTTAAAAAAACCAACTTCACATCAAATTGATAAATTGACAAATTTAATTGAGCAGCTAATGCCAAAATAATTCTCACAGTTTCGAAGCGAGCAACTGGAGAAAAAGTTTCATCAAAGTCTATACCATGTTGTTGTGAATATCCTTTTGCGACGAGTCGAGCTTTATGCTTTTGAATACTTCCATCCGGATTATATTTGGTACGAAACACCCATTTCAAGCCAACAATATTTTTATCATATGGGGCATCGACCAACTCCCAAGTTGAATTTTTTTTGATAGCATTTAGCTCCTCTGCCATAGCTCTTTCCATTCTGATTTTTGTACAGCTTCTTCAAAAGACGTAGGATCAGCCGCTAACAAAGCAAACTCACACGATTCATAAATTTCTGTAACAGATCTGAATTTTCTTGGTGTCGATTCAGCGCTGCTGCTGTTCTAGATAGTGGATGGTGACAATTCTTCGCTGCTGCTGTGTCGGATAGAGGATGGTGAGGATTCTGCACTGCTGCTGTTTGTCGAACTGAGTTGTGCAGGCGTATTCGAGACACTGCTGTTGCCATTCAAAAGTGCAGGATCTAAATGTCTAACACCTTGTACATCACTTTCTTTTTCATCGAAATATGCAGGAACCAATTTAATGACACCATCCTTGTCAACACTCCACTTCAATGCAGCCTCTTCATTGAATATCACATTCCTACTTATTACCACTTTTCCATTTATAGGATTATACAGACGATATGCTTTCGATTGAGGACAATAACCGATGAAAATGCACTTCTCAGATTTTTCATCCAATTTTGAATGCAGATTAATCAAAGCATATGCTGGACAACCAAAAACTTTTAAATGGCTCACCCGGGGTTTTCTACCATTCCAAACTTCATATGGTGTTCTATTCAAAACAACCTTCGTAGGAGATATATTTAATAAATACACGGCTATTGCCACTGCTTCTCCCCAAAAAGAATTCGGAAGTCCTTTAGCTTTTAAAAGACTCCTCGCCATTTCCACGACTGTTCTATTTTTCTTTCAGCAACACCATTTTGCTCCGGTGTATAAGGCATTGTAAGTTCCCTACGAATGCCATGATTTTCGCATAAAGAGCTAAAATCATTAGACAAGAACTCACCGCCTCTGTCAGTGCGCAACACCTTAATACTTTTTCCGCATTGCTTTTCCACCATAACCTTAACTTTTTAAAGTTATCGAAACTTTCAGATTTGAGTTTCAAGAAATAAACCCAAGTCATACGACTATAGTCATTAATAAACAGGAGAAAATATCGACTTCCACCAAGAGATTCTGTTTGCATTGGCCCACATAAATCAGCATGTACAAGCTCCAAGAACTTTGAAGATCTCCAAGATCGCCCACTAGGAAATGAACCTCTGGACTGTTTTTCATACACACATGCTTCACAAAAATCAATCTCTGAAATATTTGGCAATCCAACCACCATTTCTTTTTGACATAACAACTTCAAACCATTTACATGTAGATGGCCATAACGTAAGTGCCAAATATTTGATTTTTCATTTCTCCTAACAACCAAAGCTTTGCCCACTGATCGAGAGACATCCAATGGAAACATTCGACTTCTTGTCATACCGATAGTCGCTAGTGTCTGACAAGAATTTTTTTCACGAATAATGCATGATTCGCCATCAAACATAACCGAATAGCCACTTGAAATTAATTGTCCTACACTTAGCAAATTATGAGCTAATGTAGGCACAAATTGCACATGATGGAGAAGACAAAAATCACCTTGAATTGTTTTCACAATAATTGTACCTTTTCCTTATTCATTTTCTTTCCATCACCAAGTCGAACTTCTCCTTTTTGTGTTTCATCAAGATCTTTGAATAAAGATTTATTTCCCGACATGTGATTTTTGAGCAACCACTGTCCACAAACCAAATATCTTTATTTTCATCACCACACATTAATGAATGTGTCATAAATAATTTGCTTGTTTCTTCGGTTTGTTCGGTAAAATTTGTCTGCTTCTGTTCATCCTTCTGCTTTGCCCAACAATAAGCCTCCTTATGCCCTAACTTGTTACAATATCTGCATTGATAATGATTTTTTAATTGGCGTGGTTCAGAAGACCTGCCCCTGCCTCCACCACGACCTCGTCCTCGAAAGCTACCTCTGTCGTGCCCACGATTTACAGAAAATTCAGGCTTTCCCTTTGAACTCTCCCCCTTAATTTGAAACACTTTTTCTTTTGATTTTTCAGAGAATCTGTTCAATCTTGCTTCATGTGATATAAGAGAACTCATCAATTCATCAAGTGTATACGTTGACAAGTCCTTACTTTCTTCAATTGCAGCAACAACGTGATCAAATTTTGGAATCAAACTTCTGAGAACCTTACTGACAACAATCTGATCACTGACCGATCCAGATTCTCCATAACACTTCATCTGGTTGAAAATACCAGAAACACGTGACATATATTCTTGGACAGATTCTTTTTCTTTCATACTCAGTGTTTCAAAATCACGCCGAAGGGTTTGCAATTTAATCATAAGTACTTTGTCGTCACCCAAATATTCTTGCTTCAGAATATCTCATGCCATCTTGGATGTTCTCGCAGCTGCAATACGGGGAAAAATATCATCCTCTAATGCCGATTGGATGAGTAGCAATGCCCTTGAATCTTTTCTACGATTTTCCCGCAATTGTTGATCAGGTGCTGCAGGAGCCGGGTCTGGGTCATCAAATCCAATTTCAACCAAATCCCACAATTCTTGAGACTTGAATAAAGTCTTCATTTTCAAACTCCAAAGATGGTACTTCTCTCCTTTGAAGATTGGAATTAATTGTTGAATTGAAGAACTCCGTTTGACATTTTGCATACAAACAAAAAATTTCAAAAAACTTTACTTCTGTACGACACAAGCCTTCACTTTCTTCTTCGCTGCGGAGAATATGGACCAAAAAACCTGGAATTTATTTACTCTGATACCAAATTTGTTAGTAGAACAGGAAAAGAAATAAGAACAAAAGAGAATATTTTATTTCTGCTAGAAAATATGATACAATAAATATGATACAATAATTACTAAATATTAGAAATTCAAATTTTAAACCAACAGTTGCAAACTCCTAATAATATGCACATATTATTTATTTAATAACAATAATAATTTGAAGCACTTAATTAACAAAGATTGCCGGAATCCTTTTTTTAGGATGCTGGAGAACCTTTCGAAGAAATTAATTAATTCCAACAGGCCTTCCGGAGTAGACCGTCGAGATTGTTTATGACAACAGTTACATATGGTTCTTTCATGATTTATACAGGTTGGAATTCCGCTCTGACCCCCAGTCGACTGGTATTATTTAGAAAGAAAACTGGTTCAAAATCGGAGTAGATATATAAACAGTAAACTTGATTCCTGTGAATGTGACTGTGACTATGAGCGTATCAGAGTTGCGCACAGTAGTAGTGTAGCTATTATATATAATGATGTAATAATATATATTATTGTTGGCATTAACTGTGAAAGAGAAATTAGGCACGAGCCTAACAAATTGAACTTGGTCCAACACGTACGTACCTCGATCGATACAAGAAACAAATTCATGAATTCAAGGGAAATACTTATCTAAGTAGTCTTGTAATTCATGATCATCATCATCATCAACATTATCTTCATCAGCATCAATTGCAGCAGCAGTGTTTATATGAGGAGTTGCTCCGGCGGCAGTGCAGACAGATGGATTTTGTTTGCCGAAGAGTATGGGTTGGACATTGGCGCACTTGGTGCGGGCATGGCGAGTTTCTCCTTCTTGGGTACTGATAGATCCATCAAAGTTGAGATCAATGTTGCCGATGGAGACATTCGTGCACGGCTTGCTTCTGCTGCAGTTAAGGACGATTGCATCGGGTGTCCATGAACTGCCTCTTACATTTTCGATCATCACATTGCTGATCTCGATTTGGGATGGACTCTATCACACGGACATAATGTTAATAGCTAGGTAGAAAAAATGAAGTTGAAGTGGATGATAAGTAGCTAGATACCTGGTTGTTGCAGAGATTATGCGGGCAATAATGCTGATCGATGTTGACCGGATAACTGACGTTGTTCATGACTAGGTTGCGGAATTCCAGATTTGTAACTTTGAGTTGGATTGGAGAAGATGGCCATGTCTTGACTCGAACCCCATTGAGCGTGTTAGAGAATGTGCAGTTGATGACGTGTATCTGGGACACATCTTTCTCGGTGGCATCTCTGCCGAGGCTGCCGATGCTGATCCCATGGCCAGGGCCGCATCTCACATTCACTACATGGAGTTGGTGAGTGTCGTCGCCAATGGACACACAGTCATCTCCGGTCTCTATAACAGAATCTCTTATGACAACATTGGAAGATCTTCCGACGTGAATTCCATCTGTGTTGGGGCTGTCCCCCGGGGCCGAAACACTAACCCGCGCAAATGTCACGTTGTGGCATCCGATGCAGTTCATGTGAAACCCCTTGCTATCCCTCGTCGTCACGTTGTGTATCACCGAGTTGTTCATGAAGTTGAAGCTCAAGTTCTACAAACATACAAATACATACCAACAACTCATTATATTAATTAGAATACATCTATCTACCGATTATATTGTTGCTTACCAAGGGGAATTGCGGACAATTTGAATTCTGATGACACTGATTTTGTTGCCATGCTTGATGGCCTCGTCCATCAAACACACCGCCACCGGTTAGGACGAAGCCATTCATGTGACGGATAGTAATCCAACCCCCTTTGTTTGCCGGCATCGGCATCCACTCGGGGGCTTGCACTATTCCTCGCACATCAAGTTCAATACGTGCTTTGTTAGGTCCTTCCAGTTGCAACTCACTAAGGTACCATTTCCTACTCGGGATAACGATTTTACTCGCCATTGGCCTTGCAGATGCTTGAATCTCCTTCCAAATGCGTAGCATAACCTGTGTATGCGCACAAGAATTAGTTACGCGAAACAACGATCAATATAATAGTGTCGGTGTGACCCCAAATATTAATTAAGTTTACCGGCGCGATATCTTCGCCATATCTTGCTCCGTATGTTTCGATGTTATACACGACGGGCTGTGCGCCTACGTTGTTAAATTCTATTACCACCAAGGAGAGGATGATCGAGAAGAATGAGAACAAACTCATCGACATTTTCTCTATCATACTTATATATTTTTATTTTTGAAATTTGGATGAACATGTGATGAATTTATGTTGTTGTGGCCATGGAAGTTCCCATACATGGCCATGAGTGTGGTACAAAGAACTTCACTTATTTCACTTACCATACAAGATAAAGTAGCAAAATAAGAAACAAGTAATTAAAATATATGTTTTATTATATTGTTTATTATGTTATATGATAATAATAATAATTAAAAAAAAAAGAGCAAAAACAAAAAAGTTAAAGAGTATGTATTTTGGGATTGGTTAAGAAGACTATTCGTTAGCCTAATCTCTACATCAAATACTTATAGGGTGTGTTGTTTGGGGAATTGGATTTTCAATCCACTGTTCATCCTGTTTTTTTTTTTTTTTTTTTTTCAAAAGAATCAAATCAAACAACTATTTTTTATTTTTAATATTATACTAAAAATCAATTTTACATTCAAAACATCACATCAACACCTATTTATATCACATCATATAACTATTAAATTCAAAATTTTTAGTGTTCAAATCCCAACTCAAAATCCAAACCCCCAAACAAACACACCCTATAGTATATACTGTGAGAATTAATGTTATATGCTTGTATATGTGTTGTATTTAAATTAAATACTATATGCATCTGTTAGGTTGTCATTGTACTTATTTGACTCAATCAATACATATAATAAAATATACACCCTATATTACTATATAAATATAATATATTTTTAACATAGTATATTCTTTCTTTTAACACATAATATGTTGCACTATTTAGAAATATATATGGTATATTTTTATTCTATATGCTAAGAAGTAAAAATAGTTATTTGTTATGTTGTCAGTACAATCATGTATTTTTATTTTTAGTTAATTATATAATTAAAATATCCTATGTAAGAAATAAAAATACATACATAATGTTAAGAAAAATGGGATCCTTTCTTTACTTTTTTTTTTTAGCTATTTTTTTTTAGTTTTTATTTCTAAAATAAAATAGTAATTGAATATGATGTTTTAATGAACATTAAACATTGAATAAAAAGAATAATGTATTTTTTTTAAAAAAAATAACAAAATTGCAAGTAAAGAAATTGAAAAAATAAAAAAGGTAAATAGTTGAAGTCCTATAAATGAACATCCATGCAATTTAACCCAAAATACAGATTGGTCTTGTGTATTCATTTGCCGATTTGACTAGTAAGTGTAATTAATTAAAGGGATTACCTTTCGTTTTAATTTTACTATTTTCAGGATGGTATATAAAGTTATTACTATTATTTATGGTAAATTATCAATACTCATTGTCTTTTTTTTTTTAGTTTTTTTATGGTAAAAATGCACAATATTTTCATCATCCAAAACTAGTGTTTAATTGTAAATACACACTTAATTATTTAATTTTTATAAAAATTTTAAAATAAAATATCTGAATTAGTTTTTTTTTTAATAAAATAAATAACTAAATAATTAATCAAATTTTTATTAGATAGTTTTTTTAGACGAATTACTACCTAGTTTTTACAAAAAAATAAAACAAAAGATTGATCAATTATTTATTTATTTTATTTAAATAGGACTATTTAATATGTTTTATCTCTTTTATTTGTAAATTTACGTAATTAAGTTCATATTTACAATCAAATACTAATTTTAGATTAAAAAAAAAGTGTTTTTACGTATACTTTAATTTAACAAATGAGAGTTTCCTATAATAGATAAAATATAGAGTATTTTTATGCATTTTACTTTTAAAAAAAATACTAATATTTATATTTGAAATTGTATATGGAAAGTATATATATTTATATCACTTTCCAATTCCATAGGTAATTTAGGTAACTGGATTTATGTCATCGATTTATTGTAATTATCTCGCATCAATTTTATGAAATTAGTTTTTAATTTAGTAAACAAATTAAATGCTCATAATACTACTTTGAGGGAGAGCTTACTTTCACTCTGAGAGTAAATATTTTGTTTATTGTCAAGCCCATTTATTTATTAATTGGGGAAAGTATCTATTTGTTAAATTTGAGTTTTTTATTATTTTATTTATATTACTATTCTATCATGGTTGCTTCCATGTCTTCCTGTGTATTTTAATAACTTCCCCGCATGTCTTCCTGTGTATTTTGAGTCAAGGTTGTTGCGCTTACTTTGTTCATTAGGATCTTGTTGTGTTTGTTGATGAAGTTAGATGATGAGTGTGCTTAGCCTTCTGACAAAGAACCGTTAGTGAGTTATTTTAAGCCTTATTTGAGCACATTCATTACATATATATCATACATGCTCAATTTTTTCTTGGATTGTGTGAACATATGTTGTATTTCACTACAAAAAATAAACACATTACTCATGGAAATTACTTACGGAATTCCGTGAGCAATCATGAAAAATTCGTTAATAAATTGATTACTCACGGAATTCCTCACAGAATTTTGTCTGTAAGTAATCTGTTACTAAATACCTCGTAAATAATTCATCGCGTGAAAAATCCATGAGTAATTCCGTAAGTAAATTACTCACGACATTACTCAGAAAATTATGTCTGTAAGAAATTTACTCACATAATTACTCACGGACTTTGTCCGTAAATAAATTTACTCGCATGACAAATTTTGTAAGTAATTATGTGAGTAAAAATCAACAAAACTCTCTTACTTGCGATGGAATGTTCCGTGAGTAATTCCGTGAATAATTTACTCATTGAATTACTCACATAAATTTCCCTTACGACATTAACATATTATGTTTGAGACAGAATAATTTTCGTGAGCAATATATATATTTCAATTTTCTGACCCCCAAAAATTTATATTTCAATTTTTCCATACCAATCTCAAATCATATATTACAACAGCACAAATTCAAACCACAAAGTAAATCATATCAAACCAAATATCCAATAGACAAAATACGATCGGATCGCACGATATTTATAAAGATAGTTCCATAATCGATGGATACCACAAAAAACAGTAAATATAAAAGTATATTTGAAATAGTAAAATCCGTCAAATATTAAAGTTCAAATACTTGGTATGAAAATCAACAAACATGTGGAGCACTAGACTCGCCATCGGGGTCGTGGTGGTCCTGTCGGGCATTCAACCACTCGAGCTGTTGCATGATCGTTAGGGCATAATTCTCAAAACGGTCAAACCGTTCCTCCATGCGCGCTAGCCGACTCTCAGTTGTTGGAGCACTAGGCGTACAACTATCACTAGTGAATGAGTTGCGATCCGGTGACACTATCGATGCTAGCAACCTAAGTTCAAATATCTTCTTCTTCTTATCCCGATGCACCGATGAAAGTAAGGCATCATCACGACTATACTGTGTCTCGCCAAATTGAGACATATGACACGTTGGAGTAAGAATGAGCTAGATAAACCTAACCACGGGCAAAATTGAATAATTTTAAAAATGGACAATCTTGTTGACACAAATGAAAAATATAATCTGCTAAGAAATACATCTAAAGAGTTATCAGAATCCTCAAACATAAAAAAAAATAAATAAATAAAAAATATTTGAGATAAATCTAACATTTAATAATTTTGCACATATTTCGACATACCTCACAAAAAAAAAAAACACTTTAAAATATGAACACCAAATAAACGCACTCAAAATTTTGATCCAACTTTATCAATGGAACAAAATAAATGATACAGAGTTAGCAAACAAAGAAGAAAATATGAAACAATAGATAAAAGAGTGTGAAATAGAACTATTAGTATGATATAAATAGTAAATTGATAATTTAGTAGGGTAATAGTACATTTAGGTAAATCATTTGGTTTTATTATCTTTCTTATTTGTAATCTTTCCTATCACTGTACATGGAAGACGAAATTGTTCCTTACGGAATATGAAAATGGAGTCAAATTCTTCTATCTCACATTGTGCAGAACCTATGAATCTGGATTGATATGATAAATTGAAAGGCTATAAGCATTTAGTACAGTCAAACTAGAACAAAGGACAAGAACTTATAAAGCTTCATGGATATTTTCAATTTGTTTCTCCGGTTCATTTTCCCAGCTATGCTTCATATGAAAAAGTCAGACTTGCAATGTATATTTCATCTAAAATTTTGAAGTAGGAATGGTTGGGGATTTGGGGTACCAGAAAACTAATCATAAACTGAATTTGCTAACAAGTTAATCAGCTCAAAACCTCACATTGATCATATGATCGGTATTATTATCAAAGAAAACACATGAAAAATATGGGGATCAATTCATCTTAACCTTGGGAAACATCTTATACTTTCTGAGAAACATGAGCTTTACTTCTAAACCTTAATGCATATGATCATCAATCAAGATGAGAAAAATCTAATATACCTATTGCAGATCCAAAAGCCCTTTCTCTAAATCTTTAGTTGTTTCATGCCGCTCTTGAATTTCAAATGACATCATTTACATCAATACTATGTGTTATTTAATGTTTGCACAAATTTAGTCTAGTTTTATAGTTGAGACAAATATATGGCTCCTAAATTAAAATTCTCTGTCGTGTTTCTTCTATAATGACAACAATTCATAAAACACTACGATGGAGAAGAAGCAGAAAATGGAAGAGGATGGGCAAACAAACAAATGGGAGTTTTCATACACCTGTCCTCGGCTTTTCTGGCATATTGCATTCTAAAAAATTCGCTCACTGTCCCCTGTCTCTATCAATCTTTCAACTGTCTGAAGATGAATGATTTCAGTAAATGAAAATATTTTAACACATCTTAAATGAAATATTAAGAAATACTAGCTTCACCTCTTCATCAGGTCGAGTTCTTGTCACTGTAAACCATGTCAAATATAAAAATGTCAAATTTGTTTATAGATTTTGAAGTGTTCGTAAACGACCATTTCCTAGATAAGTATTAATACCAGTAAATACATGCCTCTCAGTAACTGCACCGATAATCTTGTTTTATTGTTCTCTCTTAGAGTCTACAGAAGTAATTTTCAAGTGAAATTTTGAAATAAGAT